TAGAATAGAATAGAATAGAATAGAATAGAATAGAATAGAATAGAATAGAATAGAATAGGACTAGACTAGAATAGACTAGAATAGACTAGAATAGAATTCTTTATTGGCCAAGTGGGAATGGACATGCAAGGAATTTGTCTTGGTGCAAATGCTCTCAGTGTACATAAAAGAAAAGATACATTCATCAAGAATCATAAGGTACAACACTTAATGATAGTCAATAGGGTACAATAAGCAATCAAATCATACTAGGAAACAGTCCATATAAATCGTAAGGATACAAGCGACAAAGTTACAGTCATACAGTCACAAGTGGGAGGAGTTGGGTGATAAGGAGTGATGAGAAGGTGAATAGCAATAGTAATGCAGACTTTGTAAATTGTAAACTATTGCAGAAGAAAGCTTAGTGTGCCACCTACCTCCACAACAGGATAATAGGAATAAGACCAGTACCAGGAGCTTTTTGAGACCTTCCCTGTCAAGTGCTGCTCAGGCACAAAAGGGTGGAAGGTCTCCCGCTTTCTCGTGTCTCGGGAGTCTCCGGCCTCCACGCCCATCTTCTCCATGCACTGGCCCAGAGCCAGGTCCTCCACGGATGACGTGTGGCTGCAGACCTTGGTGGCAAAGCCCGCAACGAAACGACGCAGGGCCTCCTTGCTCAGGACGTAGCCCCCACCCCCACTCATATAGCCTTGCTTGGCAAAGGGCCGGAAGCGCCTCCCAAAATAGATGGGCCTGCTGGAGGAGTAGTTGGAGAGCAGCCACCGGAGGTTTTCGAGCACCACGAAGGTATCGTCGTCTGCTTTGAGGAACCAGTCGGCCTGTTCCAAGTGATGCGCATGCACATAATGGAAAGCCTTGATGGTTTTCCAGTAGAGCTGGTCCCTGCCTTCCTTGGTACCCAGTCCTACAGTGGGGAAGTCTTTGTCCTCCACTGAACTCATGAAAACCACCACGTTGCAATGACGGGTCCAAGTGGCCTTGACGTGGTAGGCTTTCCTCTCCAAGTTTTGGGGCCCTGTCATCACCCAGCACAGAATCCGCACCTTGTCATACAGTTCATCTGCCACACTGCTCTCCTCACCTGAGGAAGAGGGAACCCAAAGAGTTACCATTTTTTTCCCCCAACGATTGGTCATCTTAAGAACCTAAAATTTACATATACTACGTACAGGTAAGTCCTCGACTTACAACAGCTCATTTAGTCACCGTTCAAAGATACAACAGCAGTGGGGAAAAGTGACTGAGTGTCGGGTGAAGCTCCGGTCAAAATCCAAGAAAGAAAACTTTAGACTCCATTGTTATAGAGAAAAGGACTTTTACTGAAAATTGAAATGGTAGCGTCAGAAGAAATACAGTACAAGATCTGAGGCAATCGGCGCGAAAATCACACATAGAAAGTTATCCCATGTTTCCACCCCCAATAGTTCAAACTGGCCATCCAATCTGAGATGTGTATAAATGTCATGTGGGGCATCTTCAGGTGGCGTTTCACACATCTGATATGCCAAGATGGCTGACCTTGGCGTAGACAGATAAAGGGCCCCATCTGTGCAGTAAGCAAGTAAGCATAGTCAAGGAAACATCCCAACATTTACATTTCACCAACTTAAACCTCCAGCACTCTTCCCCTCACAAAGTCCAATTATACTTCCCTCCCCCGCTTTCTATGGCAGCCGGAAAGATAAGCAGAAGGATTCTTGGAGGCTGACACTTAGGACCCTTTTTTCCACACCTGTTGCAGCATCCCCATAGTCACATGATCAAAATTCAGGCGGCTGACAGTGGTTCATATTTATGATGGTTGCAGTGTCCTGAGGTCATGTGATCACTTTCTGTGAACTTCTGACAAGCAAAGTCAATGGGGAAGCCAGATTCACTTAGCAACCGTGTCCCTAACTTAACAACTGCAGTGATTCACTTAACAAACTGTGGCAAGAAAGGTCGTAAAAATGAGACGAAACTCCCTTAACAAATGTCTTCCTTAGCAACAGAAATTTTGGGCTCAATTGTGGTCGTACGCCAAGGACTACCGGTATTGATTACATGTTTAACTTGTTCTTAGACCACAGATGTTCAACGGTTACATCAGCAGGTGCTCCTAAAGCCCAGGCCACAAAATCCCACTTCAGGATTCTCAGATTCTGTGACCACAAATGTCGCAACAACAATACTGTATGCACAATTATATCGTTTACTGCAGCTATCTCGTTCATGGGCTGCAAGGTGAAATTGTTGCTTGCAGCTGAGACTAGCTGACTGAGGGACACACTGTACATCTCAGTAGCAGAACATTCCATGATGTTCCCAGACAAGAATTATTAGCAATATCCAGATCATCAGCCAGCACAATCTGCTTGACTGTAACCCTTTTGACAGGACCAAATGGAGCATTTAAAGTTGGACAAAGGATTAAACTGGGGACTCACACTCCATATTTAATTTGGTAAGTGTGACAGGGCAAAAAAGCTTCCCCAACTACCAGTAACTAATATGAAGTGAAATTGCCCAGCAATCAATGCACAAGACAGCACACTACAATACGTCAAGCCTTTTTTTATAAACTGTGTTCCCAGCTGCAGCTAATGAAGGGAATCAGGGCCCTTTCCTCCCCCGTAAGCCACGCAACCCACGTTGCTCTCTTGTCCGTTCTTGCCTGTGTACCTTAGGATGAAGAGGAGGTGGGCCTGGATCTTCCTTTGAATTCCCTCTCCCTTGTTCTTCCTGTCCCCTGCTCTGCCCTTCCCCAGTTTCCTCCAAAGCCAACGGAGCCACTCTCCCACTCCCTGTCAGCTGTTTGGCTTTCTCCTCGGATTCAGACTCCAACAGGAGCATGACACTCTATTTCCTAGTCCTTATGACTGTTATGGCAATCCTGAGGTTTCTGCTGGACCTGTTCTGTTCTTACCTGCTTGGTGTAAGTGTGCAAGAGCTGATTTAGCCAACATGCTTTCTAGATCCTTGGAGTCATGCAGCATCTGGAGGTCAAGACGTAGGGATCCTTCCCATGTCAGGTTTTGCACAAGGTAGAAGATGCTAAAAAAGCCAGAAATGAGGCCTAGGAGGAAAGCCAAAAAGGAAGTCCTGGAGCCTGATACACCCATGCCAGGGGATGAAAACTGCAAATGAGGATGCGTCACATAATCTGTAGTGGGAAGAAAGCAGAATGAAGAGGAAGAAGCCTCTGTTGACTGCCAACATTATTGTTACACCCAAGGTCAGCTGTGGAATCCTATACACATTTTATTACAATCACTACTGGCATCAAGCAAATTGGGTGGGAAGTACACACACATCTAATGTGGAGATGTACGGATTGTTATATGGTGTTCCAAAATCTATAACATAAAGTTAACAGAATGACAGATCTGGAAGGGACCCTGTAGGTCATCTAGTCCAACCCCTCCCCCCCGGCCAAACAGGAGACCCAACACCATTTCTGGCAGACGGCAGTCCAGTCTCTTCTTGAAAGCTTCAGGTTATGATTAGGTCACCACATCTGCCCAGTTTTAACACCTCTACAGGCTGTGGATATATCCCAGGTTCTTCTTGGACCCCAACGGCAAACTCTTAGAAAGAAACGAATGCGAACAAAAATTATCTATCCTGGACCAGAGACTGTAGAAGACTGCAGTCTAATTCCCCAACTTTCCTCAACCTGGTGCTCTTTGGATGTGTTGATTGCAATTCCAGCTACCTAACCAAAAATAATATATTTGAGGATGCAATTTCCTCATCTAAGAAGACACGGATGAATATGTCTTCTCCTTCAAATAAGAGATATCTTACCTGGTTTGGTCTGCTGGATAGAAAGTTCACAACGATTAATACCACACCTCTGCCTGCAACGTTTTGTTTGCAAAAGGTTTCATTTTCTTTAAATTGCCTTAGCATAACTGTTTTTAAAAAAATCTAGATAGAAATATCTCACAGTGAGGGACTATGATTTCTATCTCTATCTCTTATATCTATATCAGAGGTGATATTCAGCAGGTTCTGACTAGTTCTGGAGAACCAGTAGCAGAAATTTTGAGTAGTTCGGAGAACCAGCAAATACCGCCTCTGACTGGAGATTTTACAGTCTCCTTCCCCTGCCATGCCCAGCAAGTCACGCCCGCAGAACCGGTAGTAAAAAAGTTTGAATCCCACCACTGATCTATATCATCTATTTCTGCATCAGTATTGACCGCCAAATATACTATACACACCTGTGCTGTTTGCTGCTCTACCAGCCAAGCCTGTAATCGGGAGAGTAGGTTGGGTGAAAGAGATCTCATGGCATCAAGCTATTTTGTAGGTAGCAGGGCAGAAGGCAAATGTAGTAATTAAAATCCAATTCCATTTCTTCCTAATCGGATTAAAATATTTGCTCTTTAACCCCTCTGGTGCTAAAAGGTTTACAGAGTTAACTGCCTAATCCTTAATGCAGCGACACAAGTAGAGCTGTGGGGACAAATTAAAGGCAAGCCCAAGATAGTGCCATCCATCATATTAGAAATTGTCTGGGAACTGAGAGATCATGAGTTTAGTCCCCTCTTGGATGCTAAACCAGATGGTAACCTTGAGCCAGTCGCTCTCAATCCTAGGGAAACAATAAGGGCAAACGCCAAAGGAGGTGAGGGCTTCACTTCCTTTTGGCTCAGCACCCTTCCTGGTTTTACAAGAAAGAAACTGCCGCTTCCCCTGCCTTGAGGCAGCCTTGAGTTGGTCTCTGTTCGAAGGCAGTCAGAAATGCCCAGCCCATTGTTGGCTCAGACAAGCTAGATCTGAGATTTGGAAGCCCCCATGAACTGCATCTTAAATATCAAAGGAAGGCAGTTATGTGGACTGGAAGTGGGATCGAAGGCCAATTCCCCAAATATTGTCTTCTAGGGGATTGGTAAACATTTGGCCCTCACATTTCCTCCTGGGCCCCAAAAACCCTGCCTGCTCATCCCCATGATTGAGGTATGATTGACACCTCCTGTTGATGCCCTTTCTTAGGCTAGAGAATGAGCTGGTTTTCATTGCCAGAAAGCTGGTGGCCCTGGAGACAGAGAGCTATGCCTTCATCAGTTGGGTTTGTTTTACCAAGACAACCCTCTTGAAAGGGGGGTGCTAATCCTTCAACTTATTTTGGTGCTAAGGAATCTTTCTTAAAGCCCTTATTTGCAGTGGGTGGATGGAGATTCTCCAAGAAAACAGTCCTTTGTGTTAGTTAGAACAAGGGGCCAGTCTTCAGTGAGTCTTATGAAGATAACCCACCCCAACTAACCTCTGGCCTTTCAAAAGACTCTAAAAACATGTTTTGGCCAATGGGCAAGGAGACCAGGGAATATGGCAGAGTCAGCCCAGAAGTAGAATGTTAACTGTTAAGCGCGATTATGTCAGCTGTGAATCTCATTCATCTTTATGATGGTTTTAATATTATATGTACATGTTTTCTATACTGTTGTTTTCTTCCTTTTGTTTTTCTTGTTCTTTAAATGATTTTTTTTGTTTTGCTGTTGTTTTTATGTTGGCTTTAATTATTTGTAAACCACCCCAGAGTCATACATATGAGATGGGCAAGTATATGCATGCAAATAAGAAAGAAAGAAAATAAGAAAGAACAAAGAAGACATAAATAAAGAACAAAGGGCACCATCTGAGGCTAGGCTGGAAGATCAGGATGAGATCATAATTGGGAACAGGCAGTGGATTAACTGGGTAATCTAAATGGCTGTGAAGTTGGACTGGGGAATCCCAGTGTGAACTTTGGACCGGCTGTGTTCTCTCTCTGCCAAGTGACTTCACAGGGCTGTTTACAGTGGGGACAAATAGGAAGAGAGAGCACTATATTCACTGTTTTCATTTCTCCATGAGAGGCAAGGTATTCAATAAATAAATATCACCACAGCCTCCTCTAGATAGAGAAGAGGACCAACAATTGACTAGATACCTGGGAAAAGCAGGGCAGAGAAAGTAGTAAAACAAGCTCCAATGAGATCCATTCCCCTCATTGATATCTGGGGTCAAGACTAGAATATCCAAGCGGTGGAATGTGACCCGTCCCGAGTAGAAGACACTGGAAGTAGCTATAGTAGCCACCGGCCATCACCGCTCTGCCTTTCCTCAAAAGCTCTCCTCCATCAATATCCCTTGCATGTGCTTGTTATACAAACTGTTTTGGGTCCCCTAAACTACATTGGCACAGTGGTTAAAGGCACCAGGCTAGAAACTGGGAGATTGTGTGTGTTCTATGCTGCTTAGGCACGAAAGTCAGATAGGAGACTTTGAGCCATTTGCTCTCTAGGAAGGAGGGCAAGAGCAACTTCTGAAAATAATGCCAGGGACTTGTCCAGCCAGTCTCCAGGAAACAACACTGACTGGAAGATACAAAAACCAACAAACCAACCACCCTACCCGATTCCATTGTCTCAGGGATAGTACTGAGCACTATGTGAAATCAGCACTGAAATTAAATTTCGCCATCAATGCAGCCAATTTCTGTCTGGGGGGGAAGAGCACGTACCGTTTACAATCAGGCAGCAGGACGACTGTTTCCTGAATGCTGGGAGATTTTTCTACTACAAATCCTACGAAAACACAGCTCCCCAAAAGCAGCTTCGGAAAAGGGGAGAGATCGCTAACAGACACTGAAGGACAGGATGACAGTTGGCTGACAATCTTGGTTTTCTTACATTTATTTATTTTTAATCTACCATTGTTAATTCTTGCCTGCCTAGTAAATGTAACTTGTTCCCAAAAAGCGTCTTCTGCAATCCTTCTGGGTATATATATAAGAACCTTAGTCTTAAATCTCTGTAGGGGTGATGAATTATTTCTTGTGGGGGAATATCAGTGAGTCTAATTACTCCATGCACAAAACAGTGAAATGGAATTCAAAAAAGGATGCATGTCTAATTTAAGATGAAGATATACAGGTATGAGTATAACTCATAAGAACAACCCTGCTGGATCAGCCAATTTTGTCCAGATTTCACTGTAACCAACCAGATACATCATGGACATTGTCAAGCAAAATATGAGACACGGCTATCTTCCATTATTGTTTCACTACAATTAGTATTTAAGCTATGGTACCTCCCATGGCGTTGATTGTCACCAAGACTAGTGGTCATGAATAGCCCTACTGTTTATGAACCTGCCTAGACTTTTTTCAAAGCCACAATACTTTTCCAAAGTATAAAGAAGCCCTTCATTTTAGCAGTCGCGAATCTCAATGCATTTAACTTGACCCTGAGTTTTGATATAGGAAAAGGAGGAGAACTCTTTAGGCGTGCATCTGATGATGTCATGCACAATTGTGTGTATCCTGCATGCCCCACGTGTACTTTAAAACTGTCCGCCTTTCCAGCAGTAGGAGAGTAAGACAAAGGTAGGTTAAATAGAGACACATATGTTTACTTTGCAAAATTTGCACAATTGTATTTAACTTGGCAAAATTTGAACTTCCTTGTGCATGTTTTCTCCTCCCCTTTTAATTGCCATATAAACAAAGTTCCACGTATAATCCATTCAGGAACTTGTTCTAAGTATTTTTCTATCTGCATTATCACAATTTCCCCTGTCAGGATCAGCAAATTAGCACCACTTTGGAATGTACACAAGTCCATTTCTACCTCCATAAACTGATAGTCACTATTAAATTCTTAATAATGATTAATATTCTTGATGTTAAGTTATTAAAATTATTTAAAAAATTAAAATTAAATATTCTAATCAATATTCTCAATATTGATTAATATTAATATTGAAGAGTAAGTACTCAGTCATCTTAGGTCTGGTACTCTTCAATATCTTCATAAACAACTTAGATGAGGGAACAGAAGGTAAATTTGCAGATAATACTAAACTGGCAGGAATAGCCAACACCCCAGATGACAGGCTCAGGATCCAAATGGACCTTGACAGACTTGAACACTGGCCCTATCTAACAAAATTTAATTTATTGTAGAGAAAAATAAGGTTTTTACATCTAGGCAGGAAAAACCAAATGTACAAGTACAGATTGAAAGTAGTAACTGAGAGGAACTTGAAGTCCTAATGGACAATCATTTAAATATGAGCAAGCAGCGTGCAGCAGCAGCCCAAAAAGTTAATACAATCCTTGGTTTCATAAACAGCGGGACAGTCAAGATCATGTGAAGTATCAGTACCGCTTTATAAAACCTTTGTAAGACCCCCGTCTGCACCCAGTTTTGGTCATCACAGTATGAAAAACATAATGTTGAGACTTTGGAAAAAATGCAGAGAAGAGCAACGAAGATGATTAAGGGCCTGGAGGCTAAAACATATGAAGAACGGTTACAGGAACTGGGTATGGCTACTCTAGAGAAAAGAAGGACTAGGGATGACATGATAGCAATGGTCCAATATTTGAGGGGCTGCCACAAAGAAGAGGGGGTCAACCTATTTTTCAAAGCATCAAAAAGCAGGAAAGAAACAATGGATGGAAACTAATCAAGGAGAGAAGCAACCTGGAATTAAGGAGAAACTTCCTAAGAGTGAGAACAATTAACAGGTGGAACAGCTGGCCTTCAGAAGTTGTGGGTGTTTCATCACTGTTTTAAGAAGAGACTGGACAGCTACTGCAGATGACACAACAGTGATTGGTCTCATTCGAGACAACGATGAATCAGCATACAGACAGGAGGTTATACAACTTGCCTCGTGGTGTAACCGGAGCAATCTGGAACTGAACACACTCAAAACCGTAGAAATGGTGGTAGACTTAAGAAGAAACCCTCCCATACTACCACCTCTTACAATACTAGACAACACAGTATCAACAGTGGAGACCTTCAAATTTCTAGGTTCTACTATATTACATGACCTAAAATGGACACCTAACATCAAAAAATGTCGTCAAAAAAGCACAACAAAGAATGTTCTTTCTGCACCAATTCAGAAAGCTCAAACTGCCCAAGGAGCTGCTGATACAGTTCTACAGAGGAATTATTGAGTCTGTCATCTGTACCTCTATAACTGTCTGTTTTGGTTCTGCAACCCAGCAGGACAGTCACAGACTTCAGAGGATAATTAGGACTGCAGAAAAAACAATTACTACCCACCTGCCTTTCATCGAGGACCTGTATACTGCACGAGTCAAAAAGAGGGCTGTGAAAATATTTACGGACCCCTCACATCCCGGACATAAACTGTTTCAACTCCTTCCCTCAAAACGACCCTATAGAGCACAGCACAGCAGGACAACTAGACACAAGGACAGTTTTTCCCCGAAAGCCATCACTCTGCTAAACAAATAATTCCCTCAACACTGTTCAACTGTTTACAAAGTGTACACTACTATCACTAATAATCTTTTCATCACTCCTTATCACCCATTCCCTCCCACTTGTGACTGTATGACTGTAACTTCGTTGCTTGTATCCTTACGATTTATATGAACTGTTTCCTAGTATGATTTGATTGCTTATTGTACCCTATGACTATTATTAAGTGTTGTACCTTATGATTCTTGATGAATGTATCTTTTCTTTTATGTACATTGAGAGCATTTGCACCAAGACAAACTCCTCGCGTGGCCAATCACATGTGGCCAATAAAAGAATTCTATTCTATTCTACTTGTCTGAAGTGATGATATAGGGCCTCCTTGAGCAGGGGATTGGGCTGGGAGATTTCCAAGATCCTGTCCAACTCCATTATTTCCGTTTTCTGCATTCTGTATATCCATCCAGATAGATCTTCAGGTCACAAGAGACATTTCTTACAAAATCCCTGAGAATCTTTTGCACTCTCTCTCTCTTTTATGACTAGACAGATATTGCTAAAAGCAGCAAGGATCTCCAGAAATGGTGGAGGAGGCAAGTAATTTCCAGCTCTCCAGCCCCAAAATCAATCCTCTGGAATTACAACCACAATTGAAACCAAAACTTCCATTGTTAAGTGAGACATTTGTTAGATGAGTTTTGCCCCATTTTGCGACTTTTGTTTCCACATTTAAGTGAATCCTTGCAGTCATTAACTGAGTAACACGGTTGTCAAGTGAACCTAGCTTTCCCATTGACTTTGCTCATCAGGTCGTAAAAGGTGATCACATGATCCCAGGATGCTCTGACTGTCATAAGTAGGAATCTGTTGCAAAGTGTCTGAACTTTGATCACCTAATTTTGATCAGTATCATGGTTGGATATTGCAACAGTGCTAATTAAGTGTGAAAAATGGTCGTAAGTCACTTTTTTCAGTGCCCGTTGTAACTTTGATCACTAAATGAACTGCCGTAAGTCGGGGACTAACCTGTACTGAGAGAGGTTCCCTCCTGTCCGTCACTTATATCAGGAATAGTGAGAGGAGAAACGGGGAAGAAAGGCACTTTTTTGCTCTTCAACCTCTTCTGAATTAAAAGAAAGGAAATCTGGAAGGGAAAGAGAGAGAAAACAGGAAGAAAATGCAGGGATGGGGTTGAGGGGAACAGAGCTGGAGCCAAAAGACAGAATTAGATACCGGGGAGCGAAAAGCACATTAGCAGACAGAAGAAAAGATCTATTTGAAGGACTGCCACAGAGACGATGGGATCAAGCTATTTTCTAAAGCGCCTGTAGGGCCAGACAAGGAATAACGGATGGAAACTGAACAAGGAAAGATTCAACTTGGAAATAAGGAGAAATTTTCCGACAGAGCAATCAACCCATGGAACAGCTTGTCTTCGGAAGTTCTGGAAGCGCCATCACTGGAAGCTTTCAAGAGACTGTCAGAAATGATGTAGGGTCTCCTGCTCGGGTGGGATGAGGGCGGGGTTGGACTAGATGACCTATAAAGGTCCCTTCCAACTTTGTTAATCTGTCATCTCCGGAACGTCGCCTCTCATCGCAAGACCCGCAAAAAGGCAAAAGACAAGAGGCGACCACAACTCCCGGGCTGGGCTATGAAAGGGAGACAACCCTCCCCCTTCCTCCCCAACCTCCCGATCCGCCAGACTCACCTGCGTAGCCGGCCGCCGCTTAGCCGACGAGCCGCCAAGCCTGGACGTCTAGATTCAAGCGGCTCCAACGCAGACGGCCGGCCCCCGCGTGCGTCCATTGGCTGGAATCCCTCGAGGCCTGCCACGATTGGCTCCCTGACCAGAAGGCCAGAGGCGCGGGCGGGGCTTTAGGGCGAAGAAGGCACATGGAGGGTGTAAGCGGAGGAGGGATGTTTGTTTTAGTGCCCGCTTCTGTCGTGGGCGGTGGGAGGCGGTGGAAGGGCCGAGGGAGCGATAGGGATTCCCCCGCTCCACCTTTGCGGCTCTCCAAGCGAGGCGCAAAGACGAATCCATGATCCTTCTTCATTTCCATTCCGTCGCGAATTTGAGAACTCTTAAGAGTCTATGGAGATTCTCGGTCATCCCAGCCATGGTTGTTCCAAAGGTGATTTTTTCCCCCCCAAGAGGCAATTGGACTTTTTTGTTTTTCTTTGAAGACGTTTCGCTTCTCATCCGACAAGCTTCTTCACAGCTGCAGAAGCTTCTTGGATGAGAAGGGAAAGGTCTTCAAAGAAAAAACAAGAAAGCCTATTTGCCTCTTGAAAAAAAGCACCTTTGGGACACCTAAGAGGCATGTGGAGAGCTTCCTCCCCTTCAAACCAACATTACTGGCATTTTATGAACCAGCAACAAAGCCAATATTCTTTACCATTTGCATTGCCCCACAAATCAAATCTCTATGCCTTTTCACCCTCATTATTCCCTTCCTTTGTTCTAGAGTTGTCATAACAGCAAGCCCTTGGATTGTGCTTTGCTCTTTACCTCAACCCGTAAAGACCTTGGCAGCTCTTCGCCTTCACGGAATATCCCCCAAGCCTTAAGCAGCCTTAACCTGCAGTAGGATCTGCTGTTTTCTACACCAGTCTAGACCAATCTTGATCCAGGTTGGCAAATTCCTCTCGGATATTCTTGTATTTTAGGACAGTAAATGAGAAATATCTGTCATTGGCTGTTCACCAGCTATTTGGTGCCATGAAAATATTTGCCCTGTGACCAATCTGATAGCCAGACATGACAACCAGGGTTAGGATAGCTTATTGCTATCCTGGCAGGCTGACTTACATTAAGAACCTGTGTGTGTGTGTGTGTGTGTGTGTGTGTGCGCGCGCACATATGCATATGCATGTGTGCACGCACACGTGTGTGATGTGTTTATAGAAATAAACTCCATAAACTAGCTTTCTTTCAGGTCAGTTGAAAGAGTTGCAGAAAGTTGTTCCTTATCAATCAAATGCATCACATGATGCTCTTCATGCAAGGGGAAAAATCACTTAAAATATAACTAATATAACTAATATGTAACAAATTATTAGCTTATTATTTTAAGGTTCCAGTTTACCAAGTCAAAGATTTCAAAGTTTAGTGGTAGTCCTTTTGGTTGATTATTGGAGACATTTTCCCCAAAATTTGACTAGGGGGTTAAATTTCAGCAATCTTGCCACCCAAACTTCATATTGATTTTTTTTAATGATTTTCTATAAGTCTTTGCTTCATATCTGATAAAATGGTAGATTACTTATACTGTACTTATAGTATAAATCAAATAAGAGAATTAAATGAGCACTTCCTTGTAAGAGACATAGAGTAGAACTGTACCTGGAGTTGGGGAAAGGAAAGTCAACAGAAGGAAAAGTAACAGTGCATACAAAACAATTCTCAACCTAAAAGTCCACTATGTATGTAAATAAGCATTAAGGAGTGGTTTTATAGATGTACTTTCTATTTACATAAAGCCAGGAGGATGAGAACCAGAAAACATGCTTCCATCCTCTTCAGTAATGTTTTCTGGGAGACAATAGAATCAGAGAGTTGAAAAGGTCATCAAGTCCAACCCCTTGCACATTAGGGGATTTACTATGTCATTCCCCAATAGATGAATATCTTCTTGACTGTTTAAAAACCTCCAGAGAAGTGGAAGAAATCACCCCATGCACTAATCTATTCCACCAATTGGCAGCTCTTATTTTCAAGGAAGCTTCTTCCGAATGTCTCACCTGCACCTACACATCCTTGTAGTTTCGTCCCATTAATTCTTATCCTCTTATCATCCCAGTCTTATCCTGTGGAACAAGTGAGAATAGGTCCGAACCTATTCAATAATTGTCTTTGTTGTGGTGTCCAGAAATTAGGCTTGGACTGCAGCACTGTAGCAAATTCAGGTGGCAGTTGCATCGGATTGAAGCTATCTTCTGTAGCAACATGCTTTACTCTGGATTACAAAACCCACGTTATATTGCAGCAACGAACACATTCATCTTTCCTTCCGGAAAGCTCAAAATATGGATTCCACCCAGTGCCCAGGGTCTAAATCAGTCATCTGCCCAACAGTGAAGATCAAAGTGAAGATCTTTCTTCATCTCTTTGAGATTAGTTGAAATGAAGCGTTTCTTTCTCTTCATCGGGAATAGCTTCTGGAATGGCATTCTGCTGGAGACTAGGAAGTAGCTTCCCCCACCCAAAGCCAGCCTTGCTCCTCACCCTTCCCTGGGAAAGACACTGCTTGGTGAAGTGGGGCTACCACACTACTCATACATCAAGAGATGATCAGCACGACTTCAGGCCCCTCTCACTTTTAGCTTTGTGAGGTAGGTATGATGTGTCCAGCTGTAACAAATGAAGGCCCATCACATTATCTCTGGATTAGCAAGTCACAGACAAGGACACAACTGTACTGTACCACAGGTAACTTCAACATGGGGAAATGGCCATTCAGCATATTTAAAATAACAGGTTAGCTTCCTAATGATCGTTTAAGCAAGGTATATATTCAATCTTTGTCTTATACAGTAAATTGTAACATACATATAGACGATAGCCAATGAAATGGATGAATTGTCTTATGCTTACCTTTGTACTATAAATTCAGTAACTCTATAAGCCTATTATCTGTAATGCAAGGCAGACAGGTCCTATAATATTCTACCTTTTCTCTTTAATGGTTAGTCTCCTTTATTCATTGGGCCTGGATTCATTATTTCACAATAATGTTGGGGGGGTTTTTTCATAAGAAGAGCCAAGGTAAACCAGATCATCTAATTCTGCATCCCATTTCCAAAAGTGGATAGTCAGAGATGCCTCTTGGGGAAGGAGGGAGGGAGGGTGGGAGGAAGTAAGGAAGGAAGGTCGGTCTCAAACTGTGGAAACACTATTCCCCCTATTTTCCCTGTCCAAATAACAAGTGGATATTGTGAATGTGATCTCATATACCCAGAGGGCAGTAGGCTGGAGAAGGATGACGTTACATCAGTACCTATTTCAATCTAATTCCCACTTGTAAGCAAATGTCCATGTAAATGGGCCAATATATGTGCGTGTGTGTCTCCAAAATGTTTTTTCTTTCGCCAACATCTCTATTTCTTTATCTCTTTTTGTCAGCAAATTCTGCTGATTTAAGCCTTTTTCACAAGGACAAAAGTATCCATTTCGGTCACTCTGGTGGAAAACTCACTGCCAAAGCACCAACAATTGAACAATGGCTTATAAAGCCAGCAGGTTGCAGTGAGTCCCTGACCTCCAGCAGATGTCCCAAGAGGAAGAGCCACAAAATTATATCACTCTTATATTTAGTCGATTAAAAACAGTTTAAATATTAAATTAGCACAAAATCTCAAATACAGATGGAATTGCTTTATAATTGATTCAGAAATAAAGAGAACTGGAAAGGAGCTCAGCCACAATACTCTTCGTGATGTAAAATGATTAAAGGCACATTCCTGAAAAGGAAACATAGATTATTACCTTTTATATGTTATTTATGATTGATTGATTGATTGCATTTATATTGCCACCTATTCGCCCATGGCGACTCAAGGCAGCTTACAGAATATAAAACCACATTTAAAACAATAAAAACTAACAAAAAAAATCAAATAAATTAATATAGTACAATAATTTCTGACAGATTGACACCCCCACTCCCATAGAAAAGGACATATAAGAATTTACATCCTTGAGGCTTAATTTACATCCTCCTTACAAAGCAGGAATTCTCTAATCAGGTAGTCCTTACTAGGGATTGACTGACCCAATAAAAATAGCATTTTTAAAGCACATTAAAAAAGAGATATAGCAAAGGGCAATAAGGAAATATATACAATATACACAGCAGTATTATAAGCAAACAAAACTTGACTCTATACTGATTCATCTTGAGTTCCAACTGCCATCATTCACACAACTTTCCACTCTGGCTATAAAATATGTTTTTATACTTTGTTTGGCTTTTGCCGATAACCTTGAAAATCTACCCCTTGATTCAAAGTGGGTAAACTAGAATTACTTGAATGATTCTGGCTGCTCCCTGAACGTTTTTATATGTATTTGTAAATGTTTAAACCACTCCATTTGTCAAATGTCATCCTGTTCCTTCTACCTTGCTCAACAAGATTCTTATTG